AATTGATGATAATAGGATACCAGTTTTATAAATACTTTTAATTGTATTAGATTTTTTGGTGGAGGCAATTTTTCAAGTTTGTCAACCTTTTGTGGATCAGGCTTAAGGCTATTAATTCCAACTATATGCCCAAGAAACTGTATTTCATTTGTACAAAAATGATTTTTTTTAGGATTAATTCTCAGGTTTGTATTTTTAATCAAAGCGAATATTGCCTTTAAATATTTGATATGTTCTTCAAATATCTCTGAATATATATTTATATCATCGATATAGACTATAGCATACTTCCAAAGAGCAGGCTCTAGTACAATATCCATTAATCTTTAAAAGGTAGAGGGTACATTACAAAGTCCAAAGGGTATAATATTGAACTCATAAAGCCCAAACTTTGTAATAAAAGCAGTTTTTTCCTTATCCTTCTCTTTTACTTTGACTTGCCAATAACCTGAAGTTAGGTTAAGAAAAGTAAACCATTTTGCTTTTTCAAGATTATCCAATATAGGAGATGCTCAATATGCTCTTTGTTTAATAGAATATTCATTTTCTGTATGTATATTATAATAAACTATATTTGTTTGCTTCAACTCAGAGAACTGAGTAGCAAATATATCAGAATTTTCTTTCAGAAAATTAAATATAATGTTTTGCTGTTCATTACTTAGATTTGATCTTATTAATATAGTTTTATCTTTGGTAATATCGACTTTGTTGGATAGTAATAGTTTGTTTTCAGATTTAATTTCTGGTTTGACTAATTTGAATAGGTTATCAACTTCTTTAGTTCGTTTGTTCTTGCTATTTTCAATTCTAATATTGGGCATTATTTTATTATCAACTTGAGAAAAATATTGATTGGTCTTGATCTTCATAGTAAAATATTTATCATTATTTAGACTTTCTTCTTCTTCTTCTAATTTTAATTTATATTCTTTATCAATTAATTGTTTATATTTAATAGGATATAGTTGGGTGGGTTTTTCTATTCGATCTCAACAAGTGATAGATATGTATTCAATATTATCATCTTCACTAATTAATATTAAACCTAGTCTATAGTTAATTACTGTTTTTACTTAATCTAAGTATTCATTGCCTAGAACCACATTATATTCTTGTGATTCTGTTATAATCATATCGATAAGAATCTCACTAGCTTCAATTTTAACAGAAATATCTTTAACTTTTTCTAGAGGAGTTGACCGGTTACCAGTAATGTCTACAACTCAAATATTACTTGGTCTATCAATTTGTTTTCCAATTCGATTCAGAAATTGTTTAGCAATTATACATTCTTTTGATCCAGTATCAATAAGAACATTAACTTTATGACCAAAAATTTGAGCAGTAGAAAATAGAGCATCTTGTACAACTTCTTTTAGTGAGTTTTCTTGTTCTAAGTTTTGATTTAATCCTTTTATTTCAATATACTCATCATCATCATCCTCCAACCAAATATTATTTATATGTTTTTTTTTATTAATATTATTAGTTCCAATATTTATAATCTATAATTTCAGTTTCTAAATTATTTAATTGTTCTTTTAGCAAGAGCTTTAAACTAGTGACATGCTCACTCTCAGGAGATGCCTTTTCTAGTTTAAAAAGTTCATTCTTTGGTTAGCCAAATTATTACTAGTATTGTTTTGAGTATTAATATGGTTATAGTTTTTATAGTAATTCAAGAAATTTTACCATTGGTCATCATTATTATTATTAGGCTACTGGTTATTGTTATTGTTATTCAGAGGGTTTATTTGTTGGTTATTATTAGAAGATCTAAAATTATTATTATTGTAATTATTAGGAGGTCTGTAATTGTTTTGATTTTGGTAATTATTGTTAAAGTTTTTATTAAATTGGTAATTATTATTATTGTTGTTTCTCTAATTCTAATTCATTTAACAATTTCTTGCTATATGACCAATTTGATTGTAATTATTACAAATAGAGGCTCGATATTCATATACTATATGTCCTATGCACTGACAATAGTGACAAGCATTATTGTTATTGTTCCTAGATCTGTTATTGTTTTGTTGCCAATTATTGTTATTATTTGGTCAATTGTTTCTGTTGTTTTGATTATTACTTTGGCTGTTATTATTATTGCGATCATTATTGTTATTACGATTATTACTTGATAAGGGCTAATTTTGTTTTAAGGTTAACTAATTCAATATTTGTTGGGTTATAGCAAATAATTTTTCATTTACTATATTTTCAACTAAGGGCTGTGAAGTAGTACTATATTGGTTAAGAAACTGAGGTTGAAGATTAGACAGCAATAAGAAATAAGCAGATAGTGTTTCTCCTTTTAAGAAAATATTGTCAAGAGCTTTGGCTCTGTTAATAGCTTCATCCAAGGTAGTTGGTATAGCTGATTCTACTGAAATATGAAATTCTTGTCAAAAGCTATCAATAAATTGTCTTATTTTATCTGTATTTGAATATACATTTGTTGGATCTACTTTTCTCCATAATTCTTCTAAAGCTATATTATATTTTTCGATAGTTTCACCTGGTTTCTGCTTTCTTGATCGAAGAGAATAGAACCATTGACTTACTCTATGTGGGTTTTTAAATTGTCTTTCAAATAATATC